TTTTGATTTAAAGATCAATCTGGTAAGGCTAATCCTATGAAAGAATAAATTTGTGTCTACCTCTTGGTGTTCTTACTAACCTGATAAAAGCATTATATTTTTAAAGATTTATTTTTATTTTTATTATTATTTGCAAGGCAGTTACAGAAATAATGAGAAAGAGAGAGAGATTTTTCTTATCTTCTGGTTCACTTTCCAAGTGGCTGCAATTGCTGGAACTGGGTCAGTCTGAGGCAAGGAGCTAGAAGGTTCTTCTGGGTCTCCCGTTTGGGTGCCGGGGCCTCATGCACTGGAGCCATTCTTTGTTAACTTCTCAGGCTGTATCAGGAAGCTGTATTGTAACTAGAGCAGCCAGGACACAAACTGGCACCCATGTGGGATGTCAATGCCACAGCAGGAGTTTTTGCCTAGTATGCCACAGTGCCAGTGCCTAATGAGTACTATTTAACATCATTCCTTCCGTTGACATTCTGGTTCCATTAATGCTAATCATGCAGCAGAATCGCTATCATCAAAACGTTCCCATGGGTTACCAAGCTCTGCCTTGCACTTTATGAAATACTTACTATAACCTCACATGAGTTGCAGTAAGACGATAATTATCTTAAAAGCAGGTAGATTGCTTTCCTTCAACATGATTTTTAATGGTAAATAAACAGACAAGTTAGGGTGTAGTGTGATAAAGCAGTGGCTAAATCCTGACCTTGCACACACCGTGATCTCATATGGACGCCAGTTCATGTCCCAGCTGTTAAACTTCCCACTCAGCTCCCTGCTTGTGGCCTTGGAAAGCAGTAGAGGACAACCTACAGCCTTGGGACCTTGCACCTGCATGGGACACCCAGAAGAATCTCCAGGCTCCTGGCTTCAGACTGGCTCAGGTCCAGCCTTTGCAGCCACTTGGGGAGGGAACCAGTAGACAGCAGATCTTTGTTTCTGTCTTGCCTTCTCTCTGTAAATCTGCCTTTCCAATAAAATACAAATAAATCTTTAAAATAAACAAATAGATAAGTTAAAAATTTAGCAACACAGGCACAAGCAGAAGTTAATTATTTGGGTGTCCTGGGCTATTCCCCACCCCACCATGTCTAAAGCAGACCTGTGTGATCTAAAGCTTTTTCACATACCATTTATGCCATACTCTTTGTCTGCAAGAACCCACCACCTTTATTTAAGTAATGATTAAGTAATGATTAACAACACCTAGAATTCAACAGATCAGCTGACTCCATCCTGGTATGGCTGTCCCTACCACTAGAGAAGTCAGTCACAGCTACACTCGGTTCAAATGAACTATGAAATACAGAAAAATGCATTCAAGCAGACCAGCAAGTTGTGCAAGCAGATTTTTTTTAATTGTCTACCATTGATAAAATGAGGAATCTACAAACTCTGAATTCACATATCCCCAGAATATGTCTGAAGCAAGATCATGTTGAAAAAGTTTAGCTAGGGGGACTCAACTCTTCAAGCACAACTTCCATTCAGACAAACAGACCATGACGCCTCTCCTTGAATCTGCATGGATTCACTAAGAGTCTGACAAATAGCATGCTACAGCAAAAAATGATGCTGTGTGTGTCCTTGTCTGGGCCCAGTTAGGACTTAAGATAATTTAGACTGGCATTTCCCATTTCCTGTCTGAGAATACCGGCCTATGAATGCAAATAACAAGAGCAACCCCCTTGAGACCACCATGCAGGAAGAACCCCAAAGACACATGGAGACACTGTGCAAAATCACAGCCATCCAAAAAGAGGAGAAGAGGCAGAGAACGAGGACACAGACAGACCTAAGGAGCACCAAGCTGTTGCCGCAGAGGTGAAGACATCTTCGCTGTCTTCAAAGTGGAAAGTCCTTCCTGGCTCACCCTTCAAACCGCCCTCCCAGTTCCTTCCCGAACTCATGATCCATATAATCATATGCCAAATAAAATGGTTGTTTTCAGCCACCACATTGGAAATGGTTTGATATTCAATGATGCAGTAGAAAAATGTAGGTCTACTTTACAAGAAAATACTAAAAAATCAAAGAGCTCACACTGCCCCTCTATTAATTTGCAACTTAAGTGCCTTCGATGAAGCTATTATAAGGCAGGTTGGTTTTTTTCTCCCTTTTCACATTGACATAATAAAAAAAATTGCATTTATGTCAGATACACAATATTAAGCTGTCCCCAAAAAATGACATAGTAATTTCAATCTTGACAGGTTTGAGCAGCCTACTTGTAAAATTCTCTCCTAGCTGTCTGTATCTCTTCCTCAAAACTGAGGCCACTTTGAAGTAGCTCATATCCCAGGTCAACCATATGTGAAAATGAGAAATTACTTTTTACTTCAGCAGACTATTGTGCCCTCTAATCTGAGTGATTAATTTACATCCCGCTCCATGGTTCACAGGCAATTACTACCAGGAGTCCAATCAACCTGAATGAGACAGAACTGTTGGGTCATCTGGAAAAACTCCCCATAGTTAGGGAAGCATAGCAACCTCCACGAGCCTTCCAAGGCTCAGTTCATTTTCCTTTCAATGATCCATGCACACCATACACTGTAGATCAGGTTAGAACGCCTTTCCTTAGGAGTATTTATCAACTGTACTGGGAAACCATACCACACAGGAATCTCTACCAGGAGATGATACTCAGAAGAAAAAGTGAAATTGAAGAAGTCAGCTAAAATAGTCATTGTTGAAACTCACTGGCAGGTTTTGATTACATGAGGCACTCCTTTATCTGATCATAATCTGTTTACATCTTTAATACCAAAGTCAACTGCAATGAAAAGCAGACGCTGGCCTTTCAAGCTGAACTGTGGGCTTGAAACACTCAGGCAACAGGAGGTCTAAGCAACTCTATTTTTTTTGGAAAGCACTCTGCAAACTCTTTTCGGTAACGCAGAATAAACATTTTGGCATTTGATAAACATACCCCTAAAGTCTTGCCCAAGTGAAGGGCCAATCTAAAGTCGCTGAGACTAGAACAATATTTTTATTAAAAAAAATTCTTGTAACCATAAGACATTGTACTCCTGGTCAAATTTTAAGTGGGTCCTGCCACTTCAATCCTTATCCTATCAGCGTTCATTCAGACATGTCCTAAAAACCCTCAGTAGATTCCCATGATGCCATCCAGCATATAAAATGGAGCATTCAAATAGTAAGTAAAAATAACTGGGGCTATGTTTTAGACAACTCAAGACTGAGTTGAGCACCCTCCAACTGTGGCATCCCTCCCTGGTGCCCTCACCAACACTCCAGAACGCATGTCACTCAAAAGAGCTCAGTCCCTAGGAGGAGCAGTTGTTACCCATTCATTCTACATCACCTCAGGGCCTCTCTATCCCAGGGACTGCAGCAGGTGTAGGAGATGCTGAGGGGCACAGCAGACACGCTGTTCACAGTGGGGCAGGGATGAGGAGGAAGGAAGAGGGCAGTTAAGGGAGCACACGGAAGGTAGACAGAGCTCTACAAGTGTGGAACCTGAGGTGAGCCACCAGGATTCAGTTACAGAAGGAGGAACAGCACGTACAAACACAAAGAGACACGCATCATCACACATGACAAGAAGCACAATGTGTCCTCCTGACCTGCAATACCTCTCTACTCCCTCTAGACCTGATGGGTTTCTTGGGTAATCTTGGAACTCCAAGTCTTTATCCTGCCTTACTCAAGAAAAAAAAAAAAAAAGAAGAAGAAGAAGAAGAAACAAGGACTCAAATGAGGCTATAACCTTAAATAAGCCTAAAATACAAACATTTACTAGAAAGCTCTTCCTGAGAAAACATCCATGGCTTTAGAACCATGTCAACAAAAATCCACAGCTAATGATTGGAAAATAAGAAGAGAGCTTGAAAGCGCCCAAAGAAGATGGTGGAAAAATAAAAGAGACTGTGGCCTCGGGTGTTGCTACTGATATTTATGAAAGGAAATCATTGCAAAACAAAACCAACCAAAATATGCAAGATAATCAATAAACTATGTGAGGTGATGCACCGATTAACCTACTTGACTGAATTATTTCACTACCCATATGTACCTCAAAATCTCATGTTGCATGTCCTAAATGAATACAAGAAAATAATGAACAAATAAACAATGTCCACTTCATTATTCTAATACCTGGAGACGTTCCATACTCACATCCTTTCCATATTCACAACTGTTTGCATGCACACAAACAAGCAACCTGTATCAACAAATCACCAAGCACCATCTCTAAGATATTTCCAGATAAAATCACATAGGCTCTAAAAAACAGATTCCCCATTTGGAACTGGAAAGCCTTGCATGAAAAGCTTTGGTAAGTCATTTGGGAACTATAGATCCAAAGACTACAAACCTAAAGTTTAATTGCTGCACAGGTCAAGGCCAATCCTCTAGATCTCTTCACAGATTCTCAAGCCAAAAGGCTTGCAGAGCACAGACATAATCCAAGCCAGGGCCTCATCTTCACACATCCATTGTACCTTAGTGTACGGCTGGTGACATGACAGGTGTTATTCTACCTCCAGTTATCCTTTCCACAGTCAAACTACATTCAAACAAACAAATCTGTGCACGTCTTTCTAGTCCAACAGCATTTTGTCCATGGCTTGGGCACAAGAGGATTTGAAGCAAGCAAGAATTTGGAAACTAAAAGTGACTGAGAGGTTAATTTCTGCTCCCTGTTTTTTTAAGTCTCCAATCCCCTGCCTGCTCCATCCCCTGCTGGTCACGGTGCCAGTAAAATTAGCAACAGTGCAGCAGTAACATGCTTCTGAATCCACAGGATCCACTCCCATGTGGAGGTTTCCACCTGCTGTGCCACACTAGCTCCCAGCTATCAATTTTTAATTACACAGCAGCAGTAGCCTCAGGAGGAGTGAAAGAAGGCAACTTACAGAGAAGGAACCAGGAAACTGTACATGACAGCTCTGGTCCACCCGAGCCAGACTTCCGTCATCATTGACCGAATCAATCAGGCCCTGGAAAGTGCCCCTTTCTCAGAAAGACACTCTTACCTCTGAGATGTTTTCTTATATTTCCTCCTGTAGGAAAAGAAGCATAAACACACATCAGGAAAGTATGTGCGGCAGGCAGTGGGTCAAAGAGAAATGACTTCAGCAAGCATGAGCAAGGTAAGGTCTCTACTTTCTCCAAGGTTCCTCCAGTTAAAACTCAGGGTGCTTGTTTCTGTACCATAGTAGATGGAAACAATCTTGTGCTTACCCATGAAGAAATCAGCAGTCCTGCACCTGTGGTCTTCTCTGTCCCTTGTGAGATTGTAGGATCTTGGTTGTAAAGTTGAACAAGATCCAGCATCAAATCTCAGTCGTTTCCATATACCAGGTTCATTGGGTTGTTGTAGTGCAAATGGGCAGACACTTCTGTGCTTCTGCTGTCTACCACAGACACAGGGTCCTATTTACCAGTTATCTGCATTTCACTGTGGTTACCAGCATCCCCAACATTCTCCTATCTCCAAGGGTGTGCTTTTTTGAATGCAAATACATGATCCTGAGGCCAAGCCAGAATAAAGATCTTCCAAGAAACAGGGAAAGGTTTAAATGAGAACACCGAGAACCACAGTGCAGGAGCAGCAGAAGGACTTGGCTTACAGCTCAGCTTAGCCCTTCCACAGGCAGCAGAAGGGGTCTGCGTCTAGCCCATCTCTGCCAGTGACAATCCTCAGTGAGTCTTGGACAAATACCTTGTGCACTGGACTTCTTAATCTACTCAACAGAGTAACCTCTGCCTTATCTCACCCAGGTCACAATGGCATAAAAGGTAGAGAATGGCTAGGAAAGTATACTGTCCCAATATCCTCCATGTTCTTCAAGTCTGTGGCAGTTCTGATATACCTTGAAAGCATTTTAATAAGCTGTTCCCTGGATAGGATCAGGGGAAAGGAAGTGCTGAGAGAGGAAAATATTCTCTTTCAACATCTCCAGGAAGTACACTCTTCCCAGCAGTCCTTAGTTCCACATCTGCATTCCTGTTACAGTCACTGCACCCTGGCAACCAAACCACCGATTTGTTCATAGGGAGCTTGAGGCCACATATTTTAAAGCAAACAAAAAAGGCACAGAGGTTTCAAATCCAGAAGCCAGCTGACATGTTATCTCTGATAAAAATGAAAACACAAAGACAAAGTTAGACACGAAGTGCAAAAGCTTTTGCAATGTGAAACCTGCAGTGTGGTCTTTACTAGTTACATATCAGTATTCCTCTACCACGGGAAAAACCCCAGAAGAACAACCAGTAACACCAAGCAGAGGGTCCATAAGTGACTTCTATTATTTTTAATGCCATGAATTTTAAAGGATGAGCACTGTCATTTGAAATAACTTACAAAACTATGCATGTATAAAACATAGCCACACATGAGTATAGGGTTTCTGTATCAATAGGAATATATTTAGGCACATGTTTGAATGATGTCACATATTTAGGTGGGAAATGTCACTCAAACTCAGGATTAGGACTTGGGATCTACAGTAAGTACCTAAGTCCAATCCTGGCTCTAGCACTTAGCTCTTCAATAGGGGACCAGTTATACAACCCTTGGAACCTCAGTTTTTATAAAGTAGAAACAATCACATCACTCTTTCTAAGATTTTTTTATAATGAGAAACAAATGAGATCATTCACCTGAACCTCAGCTCCCCAAAAGCAGGTCTCTGCATTCCCCACTCCACCCTAGTGCCTAAAGCAGCACCTTGAACTACAGCAAAAGCTGATGGTTGTATACCAAGGACAGCTAACTAAGCTTTGGGCAACAGCCAAGGGTAGAAGTTGCATCTACAGGCACTGAATACATGAGCTGTGAGTGTGGCCCATGCCCTTGACATCACTGGCACTGCAACCTAACAAACTTACCTAAGGAACCCATGAACACACTGACCAAAATAAACAAATAAAACCATTCAAAGGGGGCAATGATTAAAGGCCAGGGGCAGTCAGATTAGATGAATGCATTTGAGTTATATCTCAAAACCCAACTAATTCCAACAGGAGAGGATGTCTTGAACAGCAGGAGACAGTCTTTCTTAAGGCTTCCACAGAACTCTTCCCAGCATTTGCCCCCCAGAGCATACACCGGCACTGTTGGGCATCCCAGAGGAAAAAAGAAAAGTAAAAGAAAGTAACGTATATCACCAGTCTCAAAACTGCCAAATCCACTAAGGAAGTTACAATACACACCTCACTTTATCACAACAGATACAAGGGATGCTTTGAGAAAATCTGGTGGAAAAGGTTATCTTGAGTAATGGGTGGGATTTCAATAGGAAGGCAGCCTGGCAGAGGGTGGGAAGTGAGATAGTAGATAAAGCTGACATCTGCCAAAGCCTGGGTTCATCAGGAAAAGAGGGGATATCTGAAAAGAGGGGTCACCTCTCCGAGGAACAGGCACCCCAGTCTCAGTTGTACTACACTCTCAAGTTTATGACCATATGGAAAGAAAACAAGGACCGTAAAGTGTGACCATGTGACAGACCTGGTTTAAAACTCAGCTTCACCTTGTGGACTATAAAAGCTGAGGCAAGTTCCATGTTAAATCAAGCCTTAGACTCTGTAATTAAATAATGAATAGAATGATCCTAAAATAAGGCACTAAAATTTGGCAGATTCTGCATCTAGCATGTAAGGGACATGCCTCTCCCCTCCCAATTTTGAGTTTTCTGAAGTCACAGGTTTTGTCATGGTTCTTCAAATGTACCCCAAGAATTTGCATATTAATTGGTTTATGGTTAGCACACACATGCATGTGCAAGCATACAGACACACACACACACAATGGCTGTCAGTTAAGTAAATGAATTCTTTGCAGCTGCCATCAACACATCAAAATATGAACTCTGCATCTGGTAGACCCCCAAAAAGGGGAGCACTTGTGATGTCACATGTTGCAAAGTCTACCCTTTACATTATTTTTCATTTAGACACCACCCCAAAATCAAGGCAGACACAATCCAAATGTTGTCATCAGATACTGGAGTCTCAAGGTCAAACACACACAAAAAAGTGTCATCCCACGGGACTGGGATGTTTGCATCTCACATCAGATCTAGCTCATCAGAAAATGGCTTTTCAGCAGCAGATGGTAGTTCATGCATTCGGGTCCTCTGTTACCCACAAGGGAGACCTGGATTAGGTTTCAGATTACTGGCTTCTCTCTGGCCTAGCCCTGGCTGATGTAGGTATTTGGGAAATAAACTAGTAGATAGGAATTGAATTATTAATTTCCCACCCCCCAAAACAAAAAAACATTTTAGGACTTCCCAAACTGGAAACGAATCCTTCTACACAACCCATGGTGGCCAGAGCTTACCTACCAACTGCTGTGTTTATGACTTCTCATGGTTTTGATGTGTTACGTTGGTGGCAATAATGATGGCTTGTCCACTATCTGCTACTTCTTTCTTCCTTGCCTAACACCTTTGTACTTGGCAATAGCAGCTGCCCAATATATTACTCACTGAATGAATGTGTTTATGAAGACATCTATTCAAAATGCTATCTCTTACTCATTTGCCTCTGCTTAATCGTGAAGACATTCACTACAGCTGTGGTTTCCAACACACACACAGAAGTAAGATGTGAGAAGGCTGTAGAGTTCAGGGTCATTGAGTAACCCCTCTGTTCAATGCTGGACATATAAGTTAACTCATTTAAATCTATAAATCCTGGGGAGTATAACTCACTTTATCTTTGACAGAGTGGAAGTTTAGAGAAGCTTAACAACTCACCTACAGACCCAGATCCCTAAAGCGGCTGAGACAAAAAAAAAAAAAAAAGCAATATCTAAAACCACCAGAGAAAACTGAGGAAGTCATTCCAAAAGTCCAAAGAGTCAATTTGGAAACTTAGATACTAGATGAAAACAAACAAAACCAACAACAATAAACCATATTGAGTTCTTTCCACTCAAACGCAGGAAATGAGCTGGAAAAGAAACCTAGTTTATTCTTGGCCTTTTGTTTTGAAGGATTTCAACAGAATTTCTCCCTGACTCACTACCTGGAAGATACTTAAAAAACAATAAGTTTTACGCTGTTCTACTTCGTCTTGTTTTTCAAACTTACTTTATATTCATAATTGTTGAAGAAATCTGAGGCAAGGTAGCCCAAATCTTAAGGTCCGTACAGCCAGACTGAGTGGATGTGGGAAGCAGGGAAGGACAAGGAGCTTTGGTGCTCTGAGACCTGGCAATTTTGGCAGCAGGTGGGGGGGTAAGGGAGGAGGGTGACTAAGAAAGTGGCTTCCAATTCAAAGGCAGTTCATCCTTACCAAGCTAGAATGATGACGTCAACTAAGAAGGCCTAGGCCAGTGATTGCATATTTCAGCTTCTAGAATGGGTTCTACCCTTCACACGCACATGCCCTTCACAGGCATGCATACAGGGGTGGTGTTTGTTTTCTTTCTTTGAAAGAGCATCATTACAGCAGAAGGTTTCTTATCACTTAATTCTAGTGCAAACCCCTTCCTCAACTTTACGTGTCCAAGACATTTGTGACCTTCAGTGACTTTGATTACCTTCCCAAACACTCAGTATCCTCATCTCTACAACCTAGGTGGCAAGACTTCTGCTTCCCTGGGTTCGGTGAGAGGGAAATGGGATAATGGGCATGAAGCTTGTTGCACAGCACTGAGCATTCTGGAAATCCTCAAAAAAGCATCAGCCACTGCACTAACAATGGAATTGCATAAATGTGGTATTGTAATTCAATGGCTTTTCCATGGGGAAGGGTGGGAAGGAGGAGGAGTCTATCACTAATGAGTGGCTAAGGTGTCTATTCTAGAATGAAAAACTTGGTACTCCCAATTCTCCCTGCCTAGGAGCACTAGAACCACCAAGAAAGCAGGTGTTAATCTAAGTCTTACTAAAAGGAGGATGAGCTAGAATCATGCTTAGCTTTTTATCTTGACCAAGGGACGCTGCAGCTGGTATACCCTGCCACCCCCTCTGGCAGCACCTCCCACATACCTAGAAGAGCACACGCTTCTCTCTAATGCCAAAGTCCTTTTCATTGAAAAGCAAAGCAA